TATATCAAAAAATGACACTTTGTCAAAGACGGCTTTCATGGGAGAATGTTCTGAATAAAATGTTTTCTTTTAAAAAGAACCGACCTGTTTAACATTCCAAAGCAAACACAAAGGAACACAAAGTGCCTGAACTCGCTGCCAGTCACAACAGTCCGTTTCATTTACCCTTTAATACACTTTTTTATATTCCAAAAAGTGGTCCCCCAAAGGAATTATCAGTTTTATTCCATGATAACCCTGGTTTGAAGTAAAATAAAAGTAGCTCTGACCCTCCTCAAAATGGGCTCTTTTCAGACTTCCTAGCACTTCTAATAGTATGAAGATGATATGGTTGGCTATGTCTACGGGTAGAGTCAGTGTAATTATATGTGAAGCAACAATTCCCTTATCTGTGAGGAACACTTGCTGTGGTTAACTGCATTTCAGTGTCTGGCAGATGAAATAAAGAATTAAAATCTCAAACTAGTTTCTCAGGGTTTTTTTCCCCCCTAGTCATTTTAAAATCTTTTAGCCTAAGGGAAATGGTAGCCAGAAAACATCTGGTCTTTAAAGGCCTTAGCGAGATTAACAAAGCGGATGCGCCTGCATGCCTCCCCCTCTGGTTTCTCATAGTAGCTCTCCATTATGATTGCTCTGTGATGGTGCCAATCCTTTGGACCTTGTGAGGATGTCCAGAGTTGACATAATGACTGACACTTGAAATGTTCAACTTAAAATCAATAGGTAATTGTGGCTTTGATCACAATCTAATATCTGAATAGGAGGGCTATCTGTATTTGTTACCTACATTCTTTGCAGAGCGTGTGCCTAAGTCTAGCTCTTGAGTAGGAGTATCCATCGTTCATTGTTTAGGGACCTGGGGAGCAGGACTGAGGAACAGAAGCGGCCAGCAGAGGGGGTAGCTGAGATAAGGCGGGCTGGAGTGCCACCTGGCAGCCCTGTGTGGGGAGAAGAGGGATATCTGCACAACTTCACTGGATGTGTTGGCTGAGGCTGACTTCATAGCCTGCTCAGAATTAAAATTTCTCAAGGGGAGGCTGGAGTACAGAGAATGGAAGGAACAGATCCCCCCAACTAGATGGGCTCACTGTAGAGTAAAAAGCCCTAGTTTCAATAAAATATTTGAAAATTCTGCATATATTGGTTTGAGAGGATATTACTATTGGGGGCAACAGATTTTAGGTACTGATAGTTAAGCCACCTTTTAATTAACTCACACTATTATGCGAGGGAAGAGTGTTTTTTGTTGTTTTCTTTTCGTGGTCGTGGTGGTCGCTTTAGGCATCTCACAATTGAGAATGTCTTCTGAGATGCCTTAGACCTTTGACATAGAGCTGTGACGGTGAGGTGCAGATCTGTGGAGTGAGGCTTCACTTTCTGCCTCCATCACTTTCTAATGATGTGCCCTAGGCAAGTGCCTCAGCGTGTCCAAGCCTCACTTTGTTCATCTGTAAAATGGGCCTCATGATACCACCTTATTCAGCATTGAGTAGCAATGTCATTAATAAACAAATGTACACAGCTTAGCAGTTTTGCACACCAAGCCCACCAAGGGTTGTAGGGCATTCATGGATATAGTTTCCTGTGCACCAGGAACCCCACTCTGGATGGCTATGGTGAGTGTTTTATAAGATTCTCATGGTCTTTAGGCCAGGGAAAACAGTTCTACATTACTAGCCATTCTCTTTTGGTAGCATATAGATAGACCATGTTGTTTGTTTAAACGCAAGTTAAACTCTGAATGCTTCGTTAAAAACGCTTTCGGATTACATTATGAGACAGATCAAAGACAGTGAGGTGCAGCCCTGACCAATTTGGCTCAGCGGTTGAGCATCGGCCTGCGGACCAGAGAGTCCTGAGTTCAGTTCCCACTAGGGGCATGTACCACACACACACAAAAAAGAAAGTGAGGTGCATAGGCTTTGTACACACCTAAAATCATCTACTAAAAATAGGGGATCCTCCTAAATGTATTAGGGCAAAATTTACTTAGAAAATTTAGATTCCTTTAAAGCTTAAACAGTCCTATTTTTGATTATAGACTATGATTGCCCAGTAGATTAAAGGATCTCTCATATGTTTAGAGAAAACATCAATGACATATATTTGATTCTACTACACAATGGCCATGCCAGAAACCCCACAGTCCTACCTAATATAGATGGCTCACCATGGGCTCACAACTGAAACCAACAAAAGATACAAACTGATTCTGATTTATTTTAATATTAAAATTTTACAGCACTTTTTGAGCTATTTTATAAATTAATTCAAAATGGATGAGGCAGTAACATTGAGGTTTTTCTAATTATGTTTAAATTAAATATAAGCATTTAAAATAACCATTTTAATTAAATACAAGACTCAGGCAACTAATCATTAAAAGTAGAATTGGTAACTTGAGATTTATCATTGTGAAATCACTTGTACCACCTTTCTAATGAGTTCTTCCCTCTATAAATGAAAGACAAAAATGTATCTCTCTGAAGTGGTACTTAGTAAAAGGTCAGAGTTGTCAATTTGATATTGAATCAGTGCAAAAAAATCTGCTTTACTACCATCTCCTAGATACAAAATTGTAGTTACTATTTGCTAAACCATGTCCAACTTGACTTACATTTTAGTTCTATAAACATCTTAGAATTGTCTTAATAATTATAAGCATTTATTACTGCCAAAGAAAATGGACATATTTTGTAAAAAAAAAAAAAAAACACAACAACAAAACATACTCTTTATGGAGGAGTATCTGAAGAAGAAGAAAAATCTAAATAATTTTGTGATTTAATTTTTTTAATTAAAATAATTTATTACAAATTCAAGAATAATGAAGAATAAAACTTTGAATAGCTTCATTTTATAAATTGTAGATATATACTCCAAACTTTATCATTTATAAGAATATACAAATATATTGGTATATCTAAATTTGTGCATATGTTTGTATATGTTTAAAAAATAATCATTGGCGCCTGGCTGGTGTGGCTCAGTGGTCGAGCGTCAACCCATGCACCAAGAGGTCGCCAGTTCGATTCCTGGTCAGGGCACTTGCCCAGGTTGTGGGCCATCCCCAGTGGGGGGCACGCAGGAGGAGGTGGCCAGTCGATGTTCTCTCTCATCAGTGTTTCCATCTCTCTCTCCCTCTCCCTTCCTCTCTCTAAAAAATCAATAAAGAAAAAATATTTTTTTAAAAAAACTATTGACTATTTCTTACACTGGAATGTTACTCGTTTAACAAATCCTGACACATGGCAGGTGTTTAATCAATGTTTGTAAATTAAATAAATATGCATATTGACAAATATTATGAAACATCTTTTACGAGACCCTCTTTTAAAACTATTATTGCTATGCCTTACCTTTTATTTTCCCCCTCTTTTAAAACCATTATTGCTATGTCTTACCTTCTACTTTCCCACTCTCAATTAGAGTAGCTAACAGAGCTGAAGTGCTTTCACTCACCGATGGGAAGACAGTACATTTCCCCGTTATCTACTGCTTTTCTGTGTTCTGGCATTAGTGCCGATGTTAAGAATCTAAATGTGAGCAGTGCCTTTCTGGCTGGAAGTGGGTGATTTAAAGGCAAGGTAGCTTGTTTTGTTCCTTGTACTAAATACCTGCAATTAGTGATCATCACATTTTTCTTCTGTTGTAAAACTGAACTAATTGAAGGCACTACCCTTAGGGGATGAATTCTACAGTGTAATAAACATTGAGTGCCCTCTTGAGTTTAGCGTTTTAATTATTCATAATTATAATGATTTCTGTTTATTTGAGAACTTTAGAAATAATTCTAGTGTTCCACACACATTCAGATTAGAGTAGATGAGGCTTTGTTTTATTTTGTATTGAGGTCAGCAGGCCTATGAACATGCCAGGAAGTTCTCACAAGCAATGGAGCCAGCTTTCTGGCTGGTAAGTGGGCACCACTGATGTGCGCCATGTCCTGAAATAGCTGAATGCACTTTTTTCTACTCATTCTCCGATTGCTCTAGAAATGTTTGGGCAATGTTTGGATTGTGAGGTGAAGAGCTGACAGGGATTCAAGTAGGAAAGCTGGAAATAATGTAATACAGTGTGAGTCACAGAAGAGACGCAGTAGATTTAATAGCTGGCTATTAACCAACTGTATACATTTTTAAGGTCTCTCCTTTTCTTAAAAGAGGTTTTGTGTGTGTTTGCTTTGCACCCTAGATATATTTTCATACAATAGACCCAAGTAAACGATGGATATTAAAGTGGATATTCTGGCCATTTTAGACTAGAATAATTTTTATGTCTACTATATTCAAATTACTAGTGATAATGATGTATTGGGGTTTGGCTCCTACAATCTACTTAGATATCATAATAATAGCCTGAAATAATGAAATCCTAGTTTTAAAAAAAAGTTTGGCATTGCAAATTTATTTCTTTGCAATCTGTTTTATTTTTCCCATCTCTTTCTCCCTTTTTTTATCCATCCAATACAACACTTTAATGTGAGAGTCAAATGTGGTCCCCTGGTAATCTATTCAACTTAGGAAGAAGCAACAGTTGTTTAATATATTCAAGTAGTAGCAATGGTAAGAATGATTGATATGGATAATATCATCTGCTATAAAAAGGTCCATCTGGAGGTACACAATACTAGCATTTTAAAGAGAGTACAATTAACCACTCTCACCTAAAATCCTCTGCAGAACCAAGGTTCTGCTGCAAGAACATTATTTGGAAGTACATATGAGTAGTCCCCAGTTTATAAATTCATCTCTGATGAAGGGAACTAACAATTACATAATCCAGGGTTAGGCTCAAATTGTTTAATAAAGGAACTGGAACTACCATCTTAAAAAATAAATAAATAAATAAATAAATAAATAAATAAATAAATAAATAAATAAATAAATATTATGATCATCCACAATATATTTCTCCTTCCCAAAACAAAATTTTAACCAGAGCAGAAAGGGGAAAAAGGACTCATTGGAAAATAACGGTACCTCTATCTCTACCCCCAGGTGCTAAGAAGTAGGGAAGAAGCCCAAAAGACAGCCCAGGTGAGGAGAGGCCATGGAATATCCACCAACCAGATAATCGTCGCTGGAATAATTGGGAAGTGTCTGAATGTAGGTATGTGGATTGAAGACGTCTGTGTGCTTTTGCAGTTATCTGACTTTCCCCATTCCCACCCACGTCATGACCTGCCATCTCATCAGCCTACTTGATGGCCCTGGCACATGTGTGCACATGCACACGGCCACTCAGAAACCCCCGGTGGCTCTCCAGCCGGAAGTGCTCCTTAATCTCTTGAGCTTTCAAAACATCCTACAAAGTAACTTTAAACTGCCTCCTGCTCTCTGGGCTCAGTGTGTTCCCCTATGGAAACCTTCCTCCCCATGGACACTGAGCCTTATTTCCTGAACACAGAAAGTCTTTGTTCTTGCTGTCTGAAATCACTCTATCGGAAATAACTTTTAATTTCTCTTTGCTGGTTTTAGTTTGGTTTTCCTCCAAGACCTAAGTCAAGTTCCACCTACATTACAGATTCTTGCTGTGTTCTCTATCCCCAATATTTGCTTTTTCCTAAACTTCTACAGAACATGCAGTTAGACCCTTTCTCTGGCATTTGACAACTTGATTCATGATTTGCTTTTTCTTTCTTTAAGTCTTGTGTCCTCAGAGTAACTGTTTATTTCTGAAAAGGCAGGATCTGCCCCACTTTTGCATGCCAGCCTCCAGGGCAGGGGGACGTGGGCATGTAATGAGCTGCAGTGCGGCAGCGGGACAGCAAAGGGCAGTGGTCAAGAACCCAGGCTCTGGGGCTACCCCGGCTGAGTTTGAGTTCCTGCTCAGCCAGTTACTAGCTTGGTGCTCCTGGCAAGGTTTTTGAAAAACCTTTCTGTGCCTTAATTCCACATCTCTAAAATAGGAATAGTAATCCTATCCATCTCCTTGAGTTGTTGTAAAGTTTATATAAAATTTTAAAAGCTTAGAAATAGTCTACTACATATAAAACACTCAAAAACCATTACCTAGTTACTACTGTATACACAGTGATATTTCATCTCAATTTTCTCAATAATGCTATAAAATACCATCATCTCCATTCTAAAAACAAGAGCCCTGTGGCCCTGAGAAGTGATGACTATTATTAGCAAGTGTATAAAATATATTCAATCAACAACAAAAAAAAAGAGTAAACTGTAAAATGTATAAGTTTTGAAATCATCTTATTCTGTTTGAAATTATTTTGGAGAAGTTACCAAGAGCTCTGCTAAAACTTGGCAGACTAGGCTTCTTGGAAGCTCTTCATTTTCTAGGAAATCATCAAGTCTTGTTCTTGTCGCTGCCAAAATTCTTTGGCTGCTACTGTGTCATTTGTGCATCTGTAGCACTTAGCACTGTGCTGGGCTGTAGTAGATGATTGATAAACCCTTGGTTAAATTAAATTTTGTCACACTGCTGAATCAGTAAGTACACTCTGCCCTCCTGGGCCACCACTGAATTACAGGGTGACTTCAGAAGTCCTCTGTAGACTAAAGAAACTACCTTTAGGTAAAGTATTGTCATGAGAGAAGATTGGAAGAACTATCTTTTTTTTTTTAATCCTCACCTGAGGACATTTTTTCTTTTTTTTTTCAGATAGAGTGAGAGGGAAAGAGAGAGAGAGAGAGAGAGAAACATCGACGTGAAAGGGACACATCAAGTGGTTGCCACCCACACAACCCAAACAGGGCCAGGAACAACTGCAATGCCCTTAGCAGGAACCGAACCCGGGTCTCTCTGGACCTCAGGCGGATGCTCTAACCACTGAGCCAAACCAGCCAAGGCAAACTAATATCTTTTAATGCTTATATTATTCTAGGTGTGTGTTTGCTTTTTTACTTTGCAAACTAATGTTTTTTATTTCATTTAAACTTCAAAATACCCTATGAAGCAGATATTGTTATCCCCGATTTTACCAACAAAAAAGCTGAAATTCAAATAGTTTAACCAACATATTTAAAAATCACATACCCGGTGGGAAAGAATTTCCATTGTAAATATAATCCAAAGACCAAATGAAGCAGCCACGGGGGTAAAGTGAGGCTCTGATTCGTCATGAGGCAGATGCTCTTGACACTAACTTTAGCCGACTCATCCTGTAACCTCCTCATGCCTCAGTTTCCTCATCACATAGGATGCTATTATGAATATCAAAATATCTTATGTGTCAGTGGCTTTGAAATTAGCATTGACGCTATAGACATAAACTATAATTATGGGTCTGGTACATATGAACACTGAAACAGTTAAGAAGTCCCCAAAAGGTCTGAATTCTTTGGCAGGTGATGGGAGGAAGGTAGAAGCAAGGAAAGGAAGTGAAGACCAAAGACCAAGAAGCACCATGCCTGTGGAGGAGGTCTGGGAGCAGAGCTAGAAAAGATGCTCTGGTACCAGTGCTACTTCAGGGCTGTTCAGCTATCGGGTATCCTTGTAATATGTTATATCATGTTTCAAAATGTAGCTCTAATGGTCACAAATCACTAAACCAAGGACTGGATATATAGGGCAAAACACTGGAAATCGGGGCTGTTGCATATGGAGCCATATGGCTTGTATAAGGGATGCTCGTGTGGAAAGCTACTCATTTGAAGGATTAAGAATAATATCCTTAAATACATGGTGCTAAAACTTCATGTGTCCCTCCCAGAGTACGTGAAACCCCGAAGGGCCCCAGTGGGATCCAAGCTGCTGCTTCTTGAAATCATCTCTTCAAACGTTTTTCAAAGGAATTAATGGCACTTCAGTTGCTGCTGTCTTGTTTTGACCTTGTAAATGCTGAAGGGAAGTAGATGTATTTGATGGGTTAATAAGCCATGGTGCACAGTGAGTTAATAAGCTAAATAAGCATGTGCTTCCCATGTCATGGTAGTAAAAACAGCTCAGTGTTATAAACTGTGAGGTATTTTCCACTTCTTAGCATTTAACTACATTCCTACTGACTGTAGATAATAATTAATCTCAGCATATGACCTGACACATGTATTTAGATTTAAGAAAGTTATTTAGCATAAGAATATACCCATATTTTTTATTTTCCTTTGTTTACATGATAAGTTTCAGAAACCACCTACCAGATTTTTTTAATTGTATTTTAACCTGATTGAGAACAGGCAACCTAGCTGATATTTTAAACAATATTCAAGATGTCAAAGAGAAATTAAGAAACCACTTTCGAAAGTGTCTGTTGTCAAAGCTTGCCCAGAGTAGCCTCTACTTCCAAGATCTACTGCTGAGATGGAGAATCGATGCTCGATCGCTCAAGTGCATCTGACCAATTTTAACTATCAAGTATTTTGAAAAATATAGACTATGACAATAACACATTTAACCTATTTTCATGGGCTCTTTAATATTTGAAGTTTATAATTTTGTTTATTATTAAGCATCTTGATAGTAGAATGGGTTGTAAGGATAATGATTGGTGTAATAGAGCAACAAATGGCTAATTTAAGGACTATTTTTAGTGTATTCCTAAGTTATAAGGGTATCTTATAAACTGTAAGTCACTATACACATATTTATAAGAATAATTTTTATACCAATTTATGCTTTTTTGCAAAGTAGTGAAATATAATAGAGAAATTTTTCCTATTTCTACTACTTAAAAACTTTTTGTGAACATGGGTTCTTCAATATACAGCAGGATAGTTGTTAGGACCTGTCTTGGAGAAGACTCAAGAATTATAAACCTGCTGTTGATAGAATGCCCGTTCTGTGCTAGACTCAAAGTCGATCATCCCTAATCTTCAGATTATTCCTGCAAGGAGATTTTGTTTTCCTCATATGTCCTCCTCTACAATTGGGGCTTAGACAGGTTAATAAATAGTCTAGTAAACTAGTTAAATGGTCTTGCCACAATTCAAACCCAGATCTTTGAGACTCCTGTGCTCATGCTTTGCACTACTAGGGAAGCCAGTTGCCTCCATAAAGGGTGGGGGGTGGAGGAGTAAAAAGTGGTGGGAAAAAATCCCAAAACAAAAACAATAATAGCTACAGTTTATTAATGTGCCATATACTTAGGCACCTTAAGGACTTTAAATTCCTTATTCTACTATCCAGTTCAAAAGAGGTTTCTTCATCTCAGGTTTTTCAAATGAATTGGATATTAATATTCCCATTTGCCTTGTGAAAAAGCTAAGTTTCAAAGGCACTGAATTGCTGACATGAGATGGCACACCTCATAAGGAGCAGAACTGAGTTTCCAACTCAGATCCTGGCAAGTTCCAAAATCCTTTGTCTTTCTAAGAATATTATAATCTAAAATATATGTCTGGTTTATAAAATAAAGACTCTGGACTGCTGCATACTTATCTCTTTTCTCTGAATTTACTCCTAAAATGATTTCAGTTTTGTTTAGAAATTATTGAACTTTCAGGAAATTGGTTCTAATTCAATGAACATGCACCAGTTTGTGTTTATTCTAATGGTGCTCCAGTTTACATCAGAGTCAGATTTTAACATTATAGCTCTCGTGTGCTCAGCTTATATTTCATCATCTAGAATTTTACTAAGAACTTAAAAATTAAAACGTTTATGAAACTCCGGAAAACTGCCTCACATACATAAATTGCTGCTCTGAATACCGCAAGTTACAAACAAAACTGAACAGCTTTCATCCGAATCTCACAAGGAGCCTAGAGCAGCATTTTGAATTCATTCATTAAACAAGTGTTTCTGATTGCCAACTGTTTTCACAACTGTGTGCTAGGAACATTGGCAGAGAATAAGAACACAAGCCCTGACCTCAAACAGCTTTATAAATTAATTAGGGAGAAGAGACATGGAAACCATTAAGCAGCAAAAAGTGAAGTTAAAGGAACATTGCAACAGTGAAATAAATCATGATAAATAAATAAATAAATAAGTAAATGCTGCAGTTTCATGCCTGGAGATGCTGACTATGGGTTAAAGTAGTAAAAAAAAAAAAAAAAAAGCCTCACAGAAAAAGGCAACTGACTAGGCAGAGAGGATGGATGGCACTGGCCAGGCAGGCACCTAGGGTGCAGGTGACCAGGCAACAGATGAATCTGTTATCCTGAAGCTTGTGCAGGGGAACTGGAAACAGACAAGATTGGAAAGGGAGG